ATGTGCCTCAGCCCTCTGAGCAGAGGGGCAAGACCTTCTAGCCAGGAACCTCCATATTTAAGTCCCAGCAGGGGCATTGGTACACCCCAGTCACAATCCCCAGCCTTGGCTGCAGCCAACACCTTGGTTCTGAGGAAGGCTTAAACCACCCCATCCCCAAAAAAACAACAGGAGGAGGAAAAATTCCCTCCCAGCTCTATGTAGCAACTAGTAAAGCCTGGGAAAGCTTGGAAATACTCCTAGTAGAACATAGTCATAGATACACCTAGATCATCCTGGACCAATGCCTGTCCTACCTCTTCTTGAACATCTCCCGCAACAAAGATCGCACCAAAAAGCTATCTTGGGAACAGAAATTAACAAGCTGGTTGGATGCTAAGAACCAATGACTGAACAATGATATTGATTTTATGGCATACTACAATCTACCTGATTCCTGAAACTCTTTCTTCACCCTACAGGTGAGAATGACCCTCTCCCCTTTTGACAGGCAATGTCTTCCCAGTAATCAGGTTCTTCTCTTCTGTTAATTCTTTGTCTGCTACTCCTGGGAATCTCTCTCTTTCTAATTTCACAGCCCTCAACACTATTTTTAATCACTTCTGTGCCTGTATCTTCCTTCAGACCTGATGAAGAATGTTTCACATTCAAAAGCTTGTCTAAGTCGATTCCAACTGTGAAGTTGGCCCAATAAATATATCCCTCACAAAAATCCTTGCCTCTCAAATAATTCCTGTATTATCATGGCTATAGCATCATTCTGAGGGAGGAAAAGGAATCCCAGCTACAAAGCCCCAGAAAAAAAGACTACATCACTGCTGAAGTGATAGCTCACTCATAAGAATGAATGGATGAGTGATCCCTCATGAACTCTTCTTGCCAGCCTGAAGCAGCAGCCAACAATTCTGGCTGCAAACCAAATGAATTCAGTGGGTGACAGTAACAAATTACAGAAGCAAAGGCACAAGCTGTGAGCACCATCTCTATGCCCCAGGCAGCCACACTACTTATGGAATAGGGATATTTCCTAGGCAAAACTGTACTGGGCACAGCTCCCTGAAAGGCAGGGTTTCTGGTTCAATTCAGCTCTCTGAATTGTTTCAATGCAAAGTGAACCCCAAACTTATCTTTTTTTCCTTTAATTTCCAGCAAACTGGAAACTCCCCAGCCCCTGCAGCTTCTCCCAAAACTGAAGGTCTTTTTAACTTCACTGTTCATAGCAGCTGAGGAACTGACAAAAAAGGTCAATTTTGCCCAGCAGCTGCAGGGGACTCCCAGGGCGGATCTACCTACCTCCTGCCAGCAAGAGAAAGCAGGTCTAAGGTAAGGGCGAATATAATGCATTGGTCCAAGAGTGGCTACATGACATTTTTTGGACTGCAGAGCAGACTGACTGCATTGTCTCTGTAGTGCTGCCAACATAGCCAGAACACAGCAGGAATAATCGCTGAGGACCTTCAGCCCCGAGGGAGAACCACACAGGTACAAGGTTCAAATCCAGGAAACACACAGCTTCCAACACCTGGTGCATCTGTCCCAGGGACACAGCCCCTGCAGCTTCCAGTGTCTTACCCTGAGGCAGGTGGAGAATCCCTTGCTTAACACATAGCAAAACTACACCAGGCCATAGAGGTTTGGTTTGAAACTTTGTGGGCTCAGCGAACCAGCATTTTCCAACTAAACATTTCATCGGAAGGTTTCTGACCAGCCTGATGCTTACGCTCCCTCCACCCCCATTCAGCATCCTTTGCTAGAGGAGCTCCAGAGGTGCCCAGGTGAGATAAATGCACTGCATCCCAGCCTGTCACTGTGGCCCTGCATTTTAGGTGGCAGCCTGGTCATCTTTGCAAAGGCGGTGGCCACGGACAATGCTCATAAGCTAAAAACACTTCAAACCTGTGATGCAACATAGCTCCTGAAGCATGTTCAGCCCAAATCAGGGTTTTGTTTGTTTGACTCTTATATGACTACCTTTGAGCTATTGGGCACAGGTGCCACAGTGCAAGTTGCTGTGGGCTTAACGTCAAGCTTTACATCTCTGTGGGTCTGCAGCTTGAGGTGCACACATACACACGCACACGCAAGGTCCCACCTATCCAGCAAGTGGTGTGATATAGCAGGTCAACTTTGCCATAGTGTAACCATCCATATATCTTACCTCACAGCAAATACAGGGTACATTTATCCCACTTTTGCTTAGGGACAGGCTACATCACCGTCATTCAGGGTGGGGTGGGAGGGGTATAGAGAGGAGGCCTACATACTGGCAGTTACCACAGAGTAGCTGACACTACATTCACAGCCTAGGTTGCCTTGTAGTAACTTGTCCCTGTGCCCAGAACTTAAGCCTCATTTTCTAAAGTGACTTCCCAACCAAAGTCCCTCTGACTTTCAATGAAGCTTAGGAGCTTAAGGCCCAGACCCTCAGTAATATTTAGGCACCTGGAAAAAAACGGGGAGGTTGTCACTTACCTAACTCTGAACATTTGGGCTTTGAGTGACTTCTGATGATGAATCTTGGATGCTGTTCCACTCTGTGTTACAAGGTCTCAATCAACACTTGTAAAAACAAGCAAGGCCATGAAGAGGCTGGCTGGGAAGCAGTGCACAAGGCATCATCAAGTAGATCTCTCTACTGCCCCCCCTTGTGCTCATCACAAAACTTTAGGACAGTTTTACCATTGATCCTGCCCTCCTGAAGGAACATGCGCATCAGATGGTCACAGCAGGTTCCCAGAGGTTTATGGGTCTAACCAAGCAGGTAAGAGAACCCCAAATACTGCATCTTGGCCTCTGGGGTCTTCTACCGACTTCCCCCAATTTACTCAATCACATACAGACCCAACTTGCTCAGGTTCTGGGCTGTAGCCTCTCTCCACTGGTGCTGTCCTAGCTTACTATAGCCTGATACACCAGTATATGAACCCCAACCCTGTCCACATCTTTTAGCCCCACCTCTGTCCCAATAGACCCTTACTCTCTTAAATTAGCCTACACACTCCAGTCCTTACTCTGTGTGCTGTATCCATCAGCTGAACTTCCACCAATTGGATGAGGGAGATAAAAAGAAAGGGGATAGATCCTTGAGCAACACATCCCATGCTTTCTGGCTTTGCCTCCAAGCTGGTGGCTGCCAAGCTACTTACGGGCTCTCAAACAACTTGGGCTCAACTGAATTTGATATTTGGAAGTGCTGTTTTGTTCCTACTTGAGCTCCCTAGATGGAGACTCACAGGGCTATTTGAACCTGACAGACCTTTTGGTCTTAATCCCCCTGTTCTACAGGTAATCCATCTGCAAGAGGGGAATTGTATGTCCTCCCACACCCCAGGTTTAATTACAGTGCTGAAAGCTCCTTGATCCTCAGAGGACAGGTGCTGTATACAGCAGAAAGAAATAATGATACTCCTGTCCTGTTTCAGCAGCTCTCTGCAGTGGTCTTCATCACAGGATCTCCAAGGCAAAGTCAGTGCTCCTGAAACCCACCTATTGGGTTTCAGCAAGATAAAATGCATTATAACCATTATATGCCTGGGGAAATGGAGGCTAGAACAACATGACCAAGGTAGCTCTGCGAGTCAGAGCTGCAAACCGGACCTACATTCTGAAACCTGGTCCCTTGTTTCAGCCATTAGACTTGCTGCTTTTCCGCTGGACCTTGAGCATTTTAAAAGGTAACATAGGACCTGATCCCAAACCCACTGAAGTCATGGACTCTTTCCATTGACTTCCACATGCTTTGGACAGGGCTTATAAGCAACAGAGAGAGAGAGAGAGACACAGAGAGACAGAGAACACACAGGGAGCCACCACTTATCAAGGAATTTATGCCAGCACGGTCTCCCTATTCAGAAGAAATCACGGAAAGTAAACAGACCCAGACACCACTTTTACAGCAGTGAGTTTAAGGGAAAGGAAAAGAAAAAAAATCCATGTGTCTCTATCCCAAAACAGGATTTTCATTGCCATGGAACGACCTTATTTCTTTCATAAACTGCTTTTCTTATCCCCAAGATACTGATCAGCTTATGGTGGACTGCAAGATATAGTGCAGAAGAATGCCTCTTCCTCCCCCCAGCAGGAATGCATCCAGAGAGCTGTTCGCTGAGTTTGCTTTCTGAGCCCACTGAAGCCAGTGCTATAGTCTTTCCACCAGCCTGGAGGTCCTTTGGATCCCTGAGCTGACACAGTATCATACCACTTTCTATTCATTCCTCCAAAGCTGACAAAAATCCCCTGTTCCCAACCAGTCCTTCTTGTTTATGTTACAGTTAACTTTGTAAATATGGGGCTCTTTTACTCCTTAATACACTGCTGGGACAGGACCATACTTGGAGGATGCCTGTCTCGTATCCAAGAGGTCTGACGCATACAGTTCTGCCTTTCAGTCTATTCCACACTAACTCCTCTCTGGCCCTGGTCACACAGGGGATGTGGTCTAGCCACTGTCAGACAGCGCTTTTGGCTGGGTTGCCAGCAGGACCTCCCTGCTCCAGAGGTCTCCAGTATCTGGGTGTTATACACTGGATGGGCAATTCTCCACTCTGGGGTGCTGTGAGATTCTTTTAAGGGTGTTGCATAGTAGCACTGTTAAATCCACAAGCACCTCCATATGATTCACAAACAAAACCCAGAGATTTTGAATGGGTATCCACAGGGTCGTGAATGCTCTCGCCTGCCGTGGGCTCTCCGGAGCCTCTGCCACAGGAGAATCACTCTCTCATTCCCACCCCCAGCAAGGAAGCGAGTGAAAGCTCAGAGCTGGCATTTTCCACAGAGTGCCTTGAGTCGACCAAAAAGTATACAGGGTCTCAAGAGGCTGAGAGCCACTGCACTAGCCCCAAGAGCCCCTGGCTCCTGCACCAACACCCACGAGCCGGCTCCGGGCTCTTGCCAGGAGGCCGGGTGGCATCTCAGAGAGAACCCAGCTGGGCAGACCAACTCCACGAGATGAAGACCACAAGTCTCACGCCCAACCAGCCCTAGCGACCCCAGCTTACCTCCGAGTAGACGTAGAGGGGCAGGACCAGGATGGCCAGCAGCAGGTCGGCCACGGCCAGGCTGACGATGAAGTAGTTGGTGGTGGTCTTCAGCGCCCGCTCCATGCAGACGCTGAGGCAAACCAGCAGGTTCCCGCAGATGATGAAGAGGATGAGGAGGATGCCCAGCACCAGGGCGGCCACATTGTGCCCCGGCTGCCCGCCCGGCACCTGCACTGTGGCATTGGACGGGTCCTCCTCCGTGCCATTGCTCTGCATGGCTGGGGGCTCGGGGGGCACCTTGGCACCCCCAGCCCCTGGCTCCTTTAGGGGGCTCCCTGCAGCTTCTTCCAGGGGCCCCTCATGGAGGGGAAGGGTGTGGGGGGGCTTCCCTCGCTTTAGGGCTGGGGCTCACACCCCGCCATGGTCCCTGCAGGGCCGGGCGGGATGTGGGCACCCGGCACCAGCCCCGCGGCTGCAGAGCAGTCTCCGCTCGCTGCCGGCGGCCCTTCCCGCCCGCCGAGCCGCTGAGGGGGCAGCTCCCGCCGGGGCGGGGCGGGCGTCTCGCGAAGAGCCGCTCAAGCGGGGTGGGGCTTCAGGCCCGCAGCCACGTGGGCCCGCGCCCCTCCCCGACCCGAGAGCCTCCCCCTGAGTTTTTTCCCCCGGCGGGGCTGGCCCTGATGCTGGCCGCGGGGAGGTTTTGGAGGCGGGAGCGGCGCGTGTCTCCGGGAGAAGTTGTCCCCCGAGGCAGACGAGGCGCCTTTAAAAAAAACACAAACCCGGGGCAAACTTCTCCCGCTCCTGACATCACAAGCCCCGCGGTGTGACGTCATAATGCAGGCCCCGCGGGGAGGGGGGTCAAGAGTTGGAGGGAAGTAGGGCTGGAAGGGATCTTCCTGCAGGCATCTAGTGCAGTTTTTCTCCTCGGCAACGCGTAGGGGGTGCCCGCGGGGGCACATGCACCCCCTGAGCTTGGCAGTGTGCCCCCTGCAAAAAGCGCAGTCACCACTCGCCATCGCCCTTGCCACCGACTCCGCCAGTGGCATCTGTGGGCAGTCCCCGATTGCTGCAGGCCACTGCCAAGTGTTTGCGGGTGGTCGCCAACCGCTGCTTGGCGCTTACCCCCACCCTGCCACCGCCACCACCACAGCTGCCTGCAGGAGCTTCCTGCTCACCACTGCTACCACCACCTGTGGAGGGTGGTTGTGCTCCCACAGCCTCCGGGGACATATGGCGTTTATGACCCATGGGTTGTAACCAGGGTGGGTGTCATAGAGGACAGTCTGGTTGTCCCCTGTCCTCTATTGATACGAAACCCGATGCCTTTATGTCCTCTATTTTTCAGTTTCGTATCAATAGAGGACAGAGTAGCAGAAAACCAGAATGTCCTCTATGATGGCCACCCTAGTTGTAGCCCAAAAGTGGGTTGCAAGAATATATGAAAGGGTCACGAACAAACTTTAAGAATGCATTCTCCTTTTAAAGGAGAAAAACATGGGGAATTGTGGCTTTTCCCTTGCAGGCTGGCAGAGCTCCAGTCTGCCAGGGGCTGCCTGGGGCTACTTACCCCTCACCCCACCCCACTCCCACACCCACCCTGCCCCATACACTAGGGGCTGGGGGCAGTGGGTTGGGAGTGAGGGGCACTGGGTCAGGACTGGCCACTGATGTTTACCAAAGGGTCTTGATACAAAAAAGTTTGAGAATAATTCCTAGAAGACCATTTCTGGCTCAACATTAGGAAAAACTTCTTTACAGCTAGGGTGTCCAGACTGTGGAATAGGCTCCCTCTAGACGTGGTGTAATCGCAATTGCCTGTCCTGGGGATCTTCAAGAGGAGACTGGACGGTCACCTCGCTGCGCTGGGGTCACCTGACCCCAGCTGTCTTTCCTGCCTGGTGCAGGGGGGCTGGACTCAATGATCTTCCAAGGTCCTTTCCAGCCTTATAGTCTATGAAAAAACCACAGATCTAATGCAACCCTGTTCCTGAGGCAGGATCATTTCTCTCCAAAGCATCCCATACAACCGTAACTGAAACTCTGCATAAGACTGCCCTCAGCCCTGACAAGGTGGAGCCCAAACCCTTCTCACTCACACAACAAGACTGGCAGGTGGTGATCAGTGTCACGCTGGCTAAAGGGTTCTTGGTTGTAGCCATGTTGGGCTAGGGACATCGCTAGATAAGGTTCTTTGGGTAGATGTGATATTTTTTTATTAGGCCAACTAAATAGTTGGAAAAATTGTTCTTTGGAAGCTTTTGGGCACAAACACCCTTCTTCAGGCTCAAGTCACTCTGGGCTGTTCCTGTGCTAACAGACCTGACACTGAAAAATGACTAGAAAAATAATAATTCTGGTGTAAATGATACCTCTGCTCCCTTCCCAAACTTTCCATGTATCTCCAAGTAACTACAGTGCTCCAGTTCCCAGACTGTTAGGACTCATTAGGTTTTTTAATCCGAAGGACAATGTGCCAGCATTTTTTCTCTGCTACTGCTGCTGTTTCGCTCTTCGATTAGCCAGGCTCGGAGTCTAGCAATAATTGATTGGCATATCTGTATTCATTAGCTGGGACTTTCTAGGGTCAAGGAAGCCTGATGTTGGAATGCATCCCTGTCTCTTCTGTGAACTGCTGAGGAATGAAAAGAGACAATGTTTGTATTGAAATCTGAAACTCCTAATTAAAAAAAAACCCCAAACCCAAACCAACAAACAGCAACAGCGTAAACAGCCACTGGAAGAATGTGACTGATTGGCATCATGAGTGAAAAGTTAGCATGATTCCCCTCCACAATGAACACAAGGAAGTGGTTTGGAGCCAAAACTTCAGTTGGACATAAGACGGGTTTATCTGTTGAAAAGAATGGAATTGTGCCTAATTGTGGCTGCTGAGAATGAAGCCTTGGGTATACTGTGGGTTGTTTGTTGTGGTGTGGTCCTAAGGCTTTCTCAGCAGCCCTTGACTTGGGAAATGAGCCCTTGACTTGGGAATGGCTGATGTACAAGGTAAGCCACCCCAAACAAGCCACCCTTTGTATCCCATTGTTCTTCATGCAGAGTCTCTATATAGAGACAGGGTGAGGCGATCTAGGGTTCTGTAGCTATAGCTCCACTTCTGCCCCCAGTTTTGAAGTGGCCAAGGGGCCAGTACCCACCACAGGAGCTGTGAGTGTCTGCTTAGGTGTGTGGCACTGTTCCCTGCGTTCTTCTCCAAGTTTTCTGCTAGTATGGGGTGATCCAGAGTGGTGCAATAAGGCCCATCGCTGAGATGCATGAAGCCAGTAAAACTGCTCAGAGCTCAGGCTGTTTGCAGATGCAAGCACACTTTATTGCACTGGTTACACCTGAGGTACTTTTCAAGGTTTTCTTCACAGGTACAAGGGCTAGAAAGGTTCATTTGACTGGGGCCACAAAGCTTCTGTCTTCGCCTGGCAGTGTGCATATACCACATGTCTTCCAAATTATAGCACAGATTAATATAACTGCCGAATCCTTCCATCTGTGCAACCAGGCACCATAGGACCCTGCCTGCTATGATAACTAAAACCATGGTTCAAAGTTGATACCATTTTCTTGGAAGTCCTGATGATAACGTACAGTACCTCACAGTGCAACAGGGAAAGATGCTCAAGCTGTGGACCACTGGAAAGCAATGGCTCCCAGCTCCCCTTTCTAGCCATAATGGTACAGCAGAAAGTGGATTTGAAGGGCCCAATCCAAAATCTGTTGAACAAATTTGGGATTAGATTCTTAATCTGTCACTGTCCATCCTGCAGTTCAGGTCTGAAATTTGGGGGGATGCTGGTGCCTGATACTTTTGCACTGGGGGAGGGGGAAGGCTGCCAGTAACTCATTTGGTTACAGCTACTCACAGATTTCAGTTATTAAAGAACCATTTCTTTGATAATGATATGTGTGGAGCAAAAATCTCTCTCTGGGAGAAGCAAAGCAAAGGTTTACAGTACTGAGCATGGAAAAGCCGAATAATCCAATTTGCAGCCATGGCCTGCTGCATTCATGTGCAAGATTTATCCTCCTTGAAAAGTGCATCAGTGTTTTAAGGTGGTACACATGAAATTCTCTTTCACTATAATTGTCTAGACTTTGGATGATGTGTAACTCATAAATTAAAGTAATTTCTGTTGAAGCATTGGGCTTTTCAGATTTCCTGGTAATGAAGCCTGATTTGTGATGTCTAAATCTTGTATGAAGGTCAGCATCAAGGTTTCTTTGCTTATTATTGTCTATTTAGGAGCAATGGAAGGAAAGTGCTCAACAAAAGGGATTCTTGCTTGATCTTGATTCATATTTGATGAATGTACAATGGACAGGGAATGTAAAACAGATGCATGTACGTGAGTGCCTGCACTACGCCTACCCATCAGTTTTATCCTTTTCCACCTTTATAAACATCTTCAGTAGCCACAAATAGATTTTTAACTAAGCAAATAAAAAGGACTGATATATACTGCACAGGGCATGCACTTCTCCTGTCCACTTACTACCAGCAAGAAGAGCCTTGTTCTTTCATAGTTGTGCCTCTAGCATCCTAGCAGGAAAAAAGTCTTCATATGCCATAACATTTAGCCATGTCTTGGTAACCACAAAACACCAGAATTGAAGCACATAATGGCTGCTGTGGATTATGCTTCTTTCCTAGCCCAGGAGGGAGAGGTGGAGTGCATCCTTCAGGGACACAGTTAGTTTTATCCCTGTTAGGGCCACTAAGCTGTAGATCCGCAGTTCTGTAGTTGCAGCTAGAGACTAATACTGAGGAGTTGGCCCTGCCTCTACCTGCCATGTTGAGCCCATGCTGTAGCAGTTAAGATTCTGGAAACACCTTTTTCCTTCACTCTTCCTTCCTAAAACAATTCAGAATATAGCCCAGCAGCTGATGATTTGTGATTCTTGCTTGTCTACTCAGGAGCACTAGGGAAAATCAATCCAAATGAATGAAAGGTGTGAATTTAAAGTGGAATAGTTAAACTTTACATGTTTGTAGGCTATTGAATTGGTTTATTTTGGTTTGGCGTAACTCTGTTCTGGTCCAGAAAATCAGCTTCTCTGCTTAAGACTTGCACCTCAATTTGGAAGTCTGATTTTTGGGGAAAGGTACATGCAGTATCTGGGTAAATACAGAAACTGGAAAAATAGCCACTCTGTTTTAAATTTGCACCATACCTTAACCTGAATTAACTTCTCTGTGAAGATGTCCTTCCCGTCTGCTTGCTATAGGGACTTGTTACTTCTTCACACTAGATTTTGTACCCCTTGCTCATGTTGACAACAAGTCTCATAAATCATCCCACTGTGCCAAGTTTTAAAGGTATGTGCTGCTCCCTTGACTCTGGTGAATAGTGGGTTCAGATGCTGGGTCTTAGATTGTAGGCTGTTTGGGAAGAAACCATCTTTTCTGTGTGCATATACAATGTCTAACATTATAGGTCCCTGACTGCATTACTACAGTGCAAGGATAAAACAGGAACAGCAATGAAATGCATAGTCTATTCCTACTTCTGTAGATGCTTTACAGAAAATGACAGAAAAGGACCCTTTCCATCATGCAGTGCAGTTATATGTTAACAAGCTCTCTGGAGGAAGCAGTACTACTTGTATTTGTGTCTTTAAAATATGAAAGAAATGTCTTCTGTTCAAGAACAGGAGAGAGCATTCCTTTGACTTCTAAAGTGACTGCCCTTAAAATCATAGCAAGCTTTTAGTATTTCAAAAATCCCCCAACCACCCACTTGACACAGTGACCTTTGTTCTTGGAACTGTCACCCCAAGCACTCAGGATGGTCCCTTTTCAATTGATGAGAGCTGTGTCCCTGCTAGCCATTTCCTTGTTTGTTTTTTTCTTTAAGAAACCACAGAAATATGCTGGAATGGTTTGACTGATTCTGAAAGTCTGAACAATGGACAGTGAATGCTTATGAATTTCCATGGAGAACATGCTGGGGTGGCCACCAGGTTCAAACAAGCTGTTACTGCTTTAACATTCGTCTTTGCAAAGGATTCTGATTTCCTGTTATGCCACAATACAGCAAGGAGACTCAGGACATGTCTCATGGATGTTGTGAAAGGCTTGTTATAGCAGGGCAGTTTGTCCCTTTAAGGAGGAATAATCAGCCCTGTTCAGAAAGCCTAGCTGTAAGGCATCTGGGTAAGCAGGGAGTATCCTACCCCACAGAAGAATAAGTGAAAGGAATGAGGAAGCTAAGTGTGAAGGGAACTGCTTGCTCCAAGGAGGGACTAAACTGTTGTGCCAGGGCCAGAGCAAAAGGGACTCCTTTCTTAGCATTTGAGACAGGACAGTGGGATTTTTTTGTTTGTTTATTTAGGCTGAGGACAAAAGTTAAACATAAGCCACTTTAAGTGATCAGAAACTGGTTTAAACCTATAACAGAACCGAAGCTCAGTGCACATAAACCAGTTTAAAAATGGCTGAAACTGGTTTAAGATAAATCTGGTTGAATGTAGTATCAGACTTAACTGATTTGGGTCAAACTGGTTTCTGTCCTAGACCCCTTCTTAGTTCAAGTTAAATCACAGTCCCCCAGCATGCTTTCCAGCCCTAGCTTCCTAGGTAGCTAGAGCAGTGAGGGCTGACTCACGGGGGAGGGAAGGGGGAACTGCCCTCCCAGGCAAACTCTGCCTAGGGGCTAGGATCAGGGAGGGGGGTTAAACACCCCTTACCCTGCTCAGATTTACTGCTGGCTGCAACTGTGGACTACAAATCCCAGAGATACCTGGAAGCAGGAAGAGGAAGCAATGAGCAACCCTGCACGGTCCTGCTGTTGTAATTCTGGACTGCAAATCCCAGAGACCTCAGGGGCAGCAGGAAGAGGAAGTGAGCATACAGCCAAAGAGCCCTGCTTTAGCACCCCCCAACTTGTGGCCTGAGCCACTGCAAGCATGTGGCTGCTTTTCCTGAATCAAATGTCTCTTCACTTCTGTTTCAATTTAATTTGTGCAGTTTAGATTAACCTGCAAAGACTGGATCTGTTCAGCCTCAGACTTTTTGACTGTCTTTACCTAGCCCATGAGACAGGGGGCTATCCACAACCAATTCACCAGAAGGGATGTGGTGGGTGAAGTTATGGAACATCAGCATATATTTTACCATCCTTCTACTTATACTTCACTTGTTTGCAATCATCAGACCAATAGAATAGTTCAGACATCAGTCAAGACTTTACAGCCCACTCTCTCTCATTTTTTAAATTTCATTTTGAGTACAATGTTTCAGAGGCTAGGCAAAGCTGAGAGACCTTTGTCATAAGCAAAGCACAGCACAGAATAAACATTTGCTGAGTATCAGTAGGACCATCCATCCTGTTCTGTTTTTTGTTGGTACATTTCTGAACCAATCACCAGAAACATTATAATTTCAGTGCCAACTTACCATAAGCAAAAAGTCTGGTTCCTAGTTATATGACTTAGATCTATGCAGGGCCAGGCTCCAAACACCCACAGCAAGGAGATGGCATCCAGCCAGCCTGGAGGCAAGGGATTGCCATGGGGCTTGATGGCACCAGTTGGCAAGCTGCTGGAGGATGGCCAGCATGGAGAAAGTGGCTCATAAATCACAGACACCTGGAGAAGCACCTTTACATGTCGGAAAGGCTGTGC